AGGCCGAGTCGCCCTAGGGGAGGCCCAGGATCGGCTGAGATATGGTGTTGCCGGGTTCGCAGCGCAGGGGTCTAAGCAACTGCGACCACCGCTCCCCACCAACACGCGCCATCAAACAACACAGATAAAGATTCCCCTCTACCCCCCCCGTATGACCTTAACAGACAGGACAAGTGCCGTTAGCGAACACACACGGAGACACACACACAGACGGAGACACGCCTGCGCATCACATGGGGACGATGCCTTGACAAACAAATGAATGATGCCCATTTTGTTACCGAAGGTAATGCCCTGACGGACACAATAAGGGGTTGGGACAGAATAAATGGACAAATAGGCAGAGCCATTATCAGTTCATGTGGCGGCTCCACCCAGCATGTCAAGCACTTGACCCCCAGTGTTTCACAAAGGTCAGGGGCTGACCTGCAACTTAACTACGAGTTAAGTTTCTACACACACACCCCGTACGTAGATGACACGCACAGACACACAAACTCACACATACCTACGTACAAACGTAAACAAAGACAAAGAGCCCCCTCCCCCCCCCCCCCGATATAGCCTGCACATGCTGTTTGGGGCAAGTGCTGTTAGCGAGCACCTATTAAGGTCGAAACGGCGCCCGAGGGGGATGGTAGGCCATCACCACGCCCGGCCGCCTTTGTTTCCGCAATGCTGGTGTTTGTAACCCACACCAGGTACTCATTTAAGGCCGACTCGTTCTAGGGGAGGCCCAGTACTTGTTCAGATAATCGTCACTGGTGTTGGCCGCGAGCTACAATCGATATCGGGTCGCCAGTTTCGTAGTCCAGTGGGATAATCACTGCACCACCGCTCCCCACCACACACAGACGCAAAGACTCGTACACATTTACATATAGACATGCAAAGCATGAACACAAACGCAAACTACATACCCGAAAGATGATGGCACATAAAGACAAAGATCCCCCGTGTAGCCTCAACAGACTGTTGTGGCAAATGCTGTTAGAGAGCACCTATCAAGGATGGCACAGCACAGGAGGGGGTGGGAGGCCAAAACGACGCCCGGTCGCCTTTGCACCCCATGTTGCGATGTTTACACACCGTATCAGGTACTCATTTGAGGCTTAGTCGATCTAGGGGAGGCCCAGAACCCGTTCAGACAATCGTCACTGGTGTTGGCCGTGAGCGGTGATCGAACCTCGGTTTGCCGAGTTCGTAGCGCAGTGCGCTAACCACTGCGCCACCGTTCCCACGGACGCAGATACACAGAGGCGCATACACTTAGAATTTAACGTGTGTGCGATTACACATCGTGTGAGATGCTGCTGCTGCTGTTGTTTGTTGTTGTTAGCAGTGTGTGTTCTACCAAATTTCTGATTTGTTGCTTTTATTCAGGCCACAGGCGACCCACATTTGCCGGGCCACGTGACCAGCTAGAACTCCTCTGGACGATGATTGACCATGTGACGACATTAATGGATTTTTACATAATTCATTAGCCGAATTAAAAATGTATATAGGGGGGGGGGGGGGCTGATGGAACCTCGCCTGAAAATGGTTCAGTATTGTTAAATAATGGTAATAATAGGAGTAATATATATTTTTAAAGTCACATTTTTATATGACGACTGCTTTACCATTACAATTTCGCATTGTGCGAATGCGTAATATAGCAAGCAGGAGCATCGCAGACTATTATAAATACGGCGAGCTAATTAAGATGCTTGTTAAATGCATAACACTGTACGTTTAAAGGTAGATTGGTTTTGCCGCATAGACCTTCGTGCATGATTTGCTATGGAAATATGAGGCTCACGAGAGAGCGGTGGCGCAGCGGTTAGCACACTGCCTGCCGGTATCTCGGTGTTTTCTTGCCCCGACAGCCTTTGAAGGCTAAACGGGGATCTTTATCTGTTTTTAAGTGTGTGTTATACACTGTATGCATGTGTTTGTGCGTCTGTCAATGTGTTCACGTGTCTATTTGGGAAGCGAAGGTGCAGTGGGGTTAGCACACTGTATTTCTGTCTGTGTGGCTATGTAGGGGGAGCGGTAATGTAGCGGTTACGAGCCCAGCTCACCGCGTTCGATACCAGCTCACGGCCAACACCAGTGACGATTATCTTAACAGGTTCTGGGCATTCCCTAGGTCGACTCAGCCTCAAATGAGTACCTGGTGCGGTGTGTAAACATCGCCACTGGGGAGACAAAAGCTGTCGTGCGTGGTGCTGGCCACCCACCCCCTCGTGTGCCGCAGTGCCGGTCTTCATAGGTGCTCGCTAATAGCACTTGCCCCAACAGTCTGTTAAGGCTATACGGGGGATCTTTGTATTTGTCTTCTTCGGGAGCTTGGTGGTGTCATTAGAAATTCATCGTCAGTTGCTTGTGCACCGGTTCTGGGCCATTCCCTTCACACTGGGGAAGTATGATCGGATCTTCCTTCACGTAAGATTGACTGCACGATAGAAAGCACAAGTCGATATGCAGCGTACAAAATCCCCATGAAGTTGTGTGTATAAATATTGATCCAGTACTTATTTAAATATTCATGGGGGTGGTTAAATGAAAAAGATGTATTAATAGAGCCCAAAAATAGACAATAAAAAATGGTATATATATACACACACCGTATATAAAGTACAGCTCGACAAACATAACACAACGTTTGAATCTGACATAGCACAGATATGTAATATTTCAACCATGATCAATCTGCTGCTGAATAAAGGCCTCCCAAAGCCGTTTTGCTTTCCGTCACGGTTACGCGATACAACGACCCACCAGCACACACGGGCGGAATGCACTGCTCCATCTCCGAGGTGGACGTGGTATGTATACGTCCTTGTGGGGTATGTATGCGTCCTTGTGGGGTATGTATACGTCCTTGTGAGGTACGTGGACGTCCTTGTGGGGTATGTATACGTCCTTGTGGGGTACGTGGACGTCCTTGTGAGGTACGTATACGTCCTTGTGAGGTACGTGGACGTCCTTGTGGGGTACGTGGGCGTCCTTGTGAGGTAGGTGGACGTCCTTGTGGGGTACGTGGACGTCCTTGTGGGGTACGTGGACGTCCTTGTGAGGTACGTGGACGTCCTTGTGAGATACGTGGATGCCCTTGTGAGGTAGGTGGACGTCCTTGTGAGGTAGGTGGACGTCCTTGTGAGGTACGTGGACGCCCTTGTGAGGTAGGTGGACGTCCTTGTGAGGTAGGTGGACGTCCTTGTGATGTATTTTCCCCTCCTTCTGCAACCATTCCGTTGTTTGTCTCGACCACCGGTCGTCCCTTGTCGCCATGACGTGTCGTCCCCAAGGCCACTCTTCTTATCCAGGGTGTTTTAAAGAGATGGACCCAATTTCAAAGCAGCATATTTCACGATGGCAACATGTTACAATTACACAAAAAGTTACAAAGTTTAAGGAGTTATTAAATTTTACTAACCATGTTACAAATGCTCTATGTGCCGTCCACCTGCTGTACGGCCAACATCGAGACGATAGTTGAATTCGTCCCAAACGCCTCTCAAAGTGTCTTCTTCCACTGAAGTCACCGCTGCCGTGATTCGGTTTTAGAGGTCATCCAGATTAGTCGCTAATGGTGGCACAAAAAAACGGCCTTTTGTGCCACCATGCTCTTTGACATTGGCGGATCAATGCCAAAACGCCGTTGAAACGCACGCTGCACCGCAATAACGGATTCAGTCTTGCTGAACTGCAGAACGCAAAACGCCCCCTTGTGTTTGGGGGGTCACCATCTTCTGAATGACTGAGGCTAGGGGCTGTTTGTGCGCTGGGAGAGGCATCGAGCGGTAATCATTTGAAACTCTACGAGCCGCCCTTTCAAGTGGTAAGAGTTTCATTCATGGGCGGTTCGTCGTTGCAGAGATATAGCGATTTCAAATTGGGTCCATCGTTTGAAACAACCTATACATCAAATATATATAACAGCAAATAACAGGTGACGTTTCGGGATACGACCCTAGGAGGACGACTCCAGAAACGGTTCGGGTCCGCTCAGATTTCGTTCCCTTGGCCTGACAAATCCATTGTGGGTCTGGCGTGTTCCAAAGTGCAGTGCGCCAACCACTGCACCACCGCTGCGCGTAACACGCGTGTCTCCCCTCTCTCTACGCGTGGACTCGTTCAATCTGAATGCTTAAGTGATGCAGTTGCACGCTAAGTGGCACACGCGCTCCCGTCTTTAAAATTAACACGCACTTGAGTTGCGGTGCCTGCTCACCTAAGTCGTCCTACAGTTATTGTACAGTTGTGTTTTAGTTTATATGTATAATAACATTCGTGATGTACGACTGCCTCCGTGCTTCGTGTGCTCGCCGTGACTGGACATAAAAAGTGCAGCGAGATTGCCAAAGTTTGCCCTTTGGATATACTCCCCCCTCACCCCGTCATAGGAACGGGGAATTGCATCACTGGCTTTGAGCCACGAACGGAGCTGCCAGTGACGATTACGACGTTTAACGAGCGGGAAATCTTTTATTTTTTTTTGCAAATCAGAAAAGCCAAAAAAGAAAGTCGGGGGTGGCTTCTAACGAGCGTGTGCATGATAAGCGTCTCTCGTTTTGCTTGTTTGTTTGTTACAGCCCAGAGTCAATGGGTTGAAATTCCACGTTGCTATGGCGGCCAGGTTTGTTCACGGCTCATCCGCTGTTGAGCTGTCAGGGAGGGCCAATTGGTTGGTGCTGCTGCTGCTGCTGCCGTTGCTGCGGACAGTTCACGCGCCCGAGAAAACCTCCGCGTGCGATTTTGTTCACTCGGCAGAGCATCTCGTCGCGACGCGCGGGATTGGCCGTGGAAGGTGACACCGCCGAGCTACTTCTGGAGGCCCTTCAATGGGGGCCTCTCTTTCATGCACCACTAATTGGCATGCTTTCGTGCCTCTGTAAGGAGTGTTTGTCACGTGTCAGTCAACCCGAAATGTTGGTCCTCGTAGTTACAAGAGGCCAAAGCAAATGAAAAACCCAAGGTCACACAATTGTATTTCTTTTCTTTCCGTGCAGTCATTGGCGTCCATCAACCTCACGCCACTTGAGAATCCAAATGAATCTTGGGACGACTGGCCGCAGCACCATGGATTCGAACCCCCAGGATCTACGTGTGTTCCAGATCGTTCTGTTGCCACTCCCATTATAAACTTCCCGAGCACCCAGTCCATCTGCCATTGTCTATCCACTGCTGAATGAAGACCTACACATGCCTTCTCAATCCCTCACAGTCTCGCGATGCTATGATCCATCTCAGTGCTGCAAATGAACCCATTTTTTTGCTCCACTGTTACGGGAGTAATCCCTCCTTTGGCTGTCACTCTGTCACTAGTCTCATCCATCAGACTATCACTCCGAACCGAGCACACTTATTTTATCCTAGAGTCAATATGATGTCCCCGTAATAGAGGTTTTTGGGTTAGATCGCGTAAATATATAAATGTGTCGTTAAAACCCGCCACCACCCGACACAGCCAACTAGCAAGGTTTGTCACGTAAACAGAACGTGGCCAATTCGTCACTAGTACAGCACACCGGTGTGTTCGACAGCCAAGCCACACCATTTACAATCTGAGTACGATGTTTAGCCAGTAATTACCACTAGCTTCATCAGGCGAGGGCCATATTTGTAGAGAAGTCTTACTGTTTCGTTTCTTATATAGAGGCGTAGATGTGTTGACCACCCTAGTTGTAATTACTGGCGAAACGTCGTACTCGGGTTGTAAATTGCTGTACCAGTGACGAATTGGCATGTTCTGTTTACGTGATAACCCTTACTAGTTGGTTGTGTCGGGTGGTGGCGGGTTTTAACGACACATTTATATATTTAAGCGATCTAACCCAAATAAACCTCTATTATGGATATTGGTCGCGAAAGCCTACGTGTTAAAATGTCTCCGATTCTTGTGTCATCATTGATCCGCGTGTTTCTCTTTCTATCTATCGGTGTAATTCCAAGCATACAACCGCTCTACGTTTCTTTACGTGAATTTAAGCTTGTGGAATTTGATTCGTCATTGTTCACGTTTCTGATTCATGTAAATCACACCAAGTGGATTCATTTCCAATAACACTGCGATATTGGTTTTCATGATAAAAGTCTAATCAGTTTTCCGACATATAATTTCATCCAGCTTTCGTTTGTTTCTTTATTATATCGTTGTGATCCCAATCTGACATCAATAATTGCCCTCCTAGGTGTACACATTCTGGCTGTTTTACAGCTGTATCTCTCCAACAATGACCTTTGTTGAAAAAAAGAAGACGTGTTTATGTTGAGCCATACTTATTTGAATCCAACTTAAAAAAAAACTAGCGCGACCAGCTGCTGACCAAACGCAGTTTACCTGACTATTAAACCTGTACACGGAGATTAAAATTTCTCAAACGTGAAATGATGCCTTGACCATGCTGCTCTTCTGAAGAAGGTAAACAACCGATGTGAAGAATTTCAGACACATTCGCAACCTCAGGGGGAAGTGAAACTCGCAAACGTTGGAGGCCAACCAACCACGTGAAGCAAGATGGATTTTAGGAAAGGTTTTTCTACCATTGGCCATGCAAACACTGTGGATCAGATCGCAGGAGAGACGAATGCGAATCATATACGACAGATACGTTTCGGAATGAAACGTTTATTGTTTGGGATTTTAAAGAACATTTTATTTTCCATTCTTGGTTTCCGATTATCGGATTATTTCCATTGTAAGTAATTTAAATCGTCTTGGTACATGTTTTTTTGTGTCCCTCAATCAATGGCTCATGACACCACCGGTGCTTAAACCGTGGAATTGACGTAATTTATTTTGACGTCAGAGCTTCACGTCATATTTTCGGGATAATTCTAACTGCTGTATCTAGGCTTCAGTTTTTTTTCTGATTTAAAGAATATCCCCCCCCCCCCCCCCCCCAAAATTAGAAAACAACCTCGTTTTTTAAATATCACACATGGGTCTCGTTGGTTGTGAAAAGGCATTGGATTCAGTGTGGAAATATAGCAGACATCCAAATGCCTTCATTAAGAGAGGTATTTATTAAGACGCAACTGAACATTTGATATTGCATGGATAAATTGGCAAAGTCAATAGTGTAGTTGGGCAAGGAGATATACACCCTTATCGTCATAATTGCAACATTCGAATATACTTTACAAGCATCGGATTGGCACAATAAATGTACACGTTCAATTTGGCACAAAGTAGAGTGAGTAGCCATCTCATTTTGACAAACATTGAGAAAAGGAATTTCAGAAGACTGTTGAAGAAATGTCACACAATGCGATATAAAATGTTTACACGAACATATACAGGGGGAAGCTGAAACAACAGATATGCAGTTTAATCATTAACCGTTTGGGCAAAATTTTATTCGAACAAATAATATGTGACATTGTAATTATGTAACCTGAACAACTATGCAGCAATTGAATCAAAACAAGCTTATTAAATACGTTCATTAAGTTGAGACGTGTTTAAGTTCATACCGTAAGCATATTGGCATATCCCCAATAACTGCTACCGAGTGAATTTGTTACATCACAGAAGCATCGTGCGAAGTGGAAGTGACGCGTTGATGCCTTCATCCAGCACGGAATTCACAAAAGGGCTGTAAAGTAAAAAAAAACATCCATTGTGCGTTGAACTTATTTCACGCCGTACGTAGCCAACCGTGGTAATCGGAGGTGCGCGCCAACAGACAGGCTGCTTTGGTAAGTCCTTCTCTTGAAATCACAGACGGTGCTGTATTAGGTACTCGAACCTGCACTTTGGAAAGCGGTAGGCTCAATCGCGTGGGCGCTTAGCATACAGCGCCCGGTCACACAGCTGCCATCTGGATATAATTACACTAGAGACAAAGATCTCCCGTAAAGACATACAAGCTGTTGGGGGCAAGTGCTGTCAGCGAGCACCTATGAAAGCCGGTACAGAGCACGAGGGAGTGGTCTGGCCAACAACTTACCACCACGCCCGGCCGCCTTTGTTCCTCCAGTACAGGACTGGATTGATGTATATACACCACACCCAGCGTCTATATTTTTTCTTAAGTCAGAGTCGACATAGGAACTCGTGACTGATATTAGCCGTAAGCGGGAATCGAACCAAGGTTCCCGGGTTCGGAGCGTAGTGCGCCAACCACTACACCACCGATACCCGATATGGACACACATACGCACGCACGCATCTCATCTATTACATCGTACTATGCGCGTACAAACTATAGATAATATATTAAAAACAGCGTTCGATAATGCCTTATCGCAGTTTTTCAAGATGCACTGCTATCGCAGCGAGGCTGTAGGACCACAGCAGCACTGCGCGATTCTCCATCGCGTGGCTGCAGTTTGAATGCCCGCCCCAGCCATTGTAATTAAGATGCAGACAGACAGACAGAAGCTTGATCCTCAGACTCCATACACTGCCCTGCTACATTCTATCCCCCCACCCACCACGACCACCACACACCCTGCCCCCCACCGTCAACTTGCTTCTCTCTACCCCCTCTAGGACGAGCGTAAAGCCTGCTACCCCCCTCGCTCACGCTGGTGTGAGAGGGCTTGGCTAGACAGTCTGAACAGTGATAAATTGTCCATATAACGACCCAGGGGTAGCAGACGCACGGAGACATTGGACTGTTCAATGCATCTATGGCGGGGATAGCGGTGTTGTTAAACACGAAAGGGGGTGAAGGTGCAGCCCCTGCAAATTTCTTGCCCACGCCACTGCTGGCAGAAGAGGCATCCACTCCCCCCCCACACCTTCAGGAGATGGTATTTGGCCTACTCTTCCACACTGACCAGACGTCTTGGAAGAGGTGGGAGTTCCCACGCTTTAACCCACCGCAAGTGACCTACCGTTCGCCTAACCTGGTGGTTGTTAGCCACTTAACCTCCTTGAAGGGCGCGGGGGAGGAATTCCCAAACTTGGGACCAGTGTTTCAACTATCGCTCCGGCAGAATTTAAATGATTCGACTGGATCTAAGAGTTCAAGTCTGATAGCCATCAAACCACGGCAGCATCGCGTACACATTGCGTGTGCGAGGTACATCGACTCGGTTTAACATGTGAGATGCCGTTGGGCAAGTGGTGTTAGCGAGCACCTATTAAGGTTGCCAAGGCACATGCTCTGGCTAACACCACACCTTTGCCTCCTGACTGATAATGGACCACCCGAAAGTGCCAGGCACTCTGTTAAATCCTCGCTTACCTCGGCAGCAGCCCGAGTACCGTTTGCCACTAAAAATGTTGTATCATTCACAGCGCATGCACAGTTACATGCACACGGCTGTCATAACATGCACTCCCTCTTAGAGGCACACACTCGTGCGTGCATTCAGCACATACCGGCTCCCACGCATGCACAGTCAAACATATCGACTAAGATCCAACTACAGCATAGCCTTTAACAGACTGCTAGGGTAAGTGCACATGCCTTCCCGGCAGCCTGCTGCTGCTATGCGAGCCCCTATTACGGCGGGCCAAACAAAGGCAACGATCCCACCGTGTAGCCTTAACAGGCTGTTTGGGGCAAGTTAGTGCTGTTAGCACCTACGCAGGCTGAAACGGTACACGAGGGGGGGTGGCTATGACCACACCCGGCCACCACACACAGACACACGTATCAAAAGCGCACACATGTACACGCAGACGCAAAGACTACACGTACATACACACACGCGTACAGCTACATCAACAGACCGATACGACAACGCACGAGACCCAGAGAGTCAGTCGCACACACAAAGGACAAAGCCCCCGCCGTGCTGAAGAGGCTGTCGAGGCACATTTGTTGTTAGCGAGCACCAACGGAGGCTGGCACGGCACGAGAGACGGTGGCGTGGCCAGGCCCACGCCCAGCCGCCCCTTTGTCTCTCCAAGATCTGATGTTTGCTACACACCACACAACGTACTCATTTAAGGCCGAGCCGACCTAGGAGAGGCACAGGAGCGGTTCAGATAACCCGTCACTGTAATTCGGCCGTGAGCGGGAATCGAACTCGGGTGGCCGGGTTCGTAGCGCGTCGAGACAAACCGCTACACTACCGCTCCCCGCACACACACACACGTGGACACACACACACGTGTACACACACACACGTGTACACACACACGTG